CTCTGTCATTTGAGTGGTCTCCATTGTTACTGGATCGGTTAAACCGGTGTCTGGTGCCCTTTCATCTTATCACACAATCGGTTCTCCTCGGCGACTATGGTGGTTCTTTGCATTCTAACCGCTTCTTCTTCTTCTATCTATATATACCCTTGGGATTTTCCTCCCAAATCACCCATATTCTTTTGGATTTTACGCAACAAGGCTTAATGAAATATCGTTGTAGGGATGATGGCCAGTTTGAAGGCTTCAACTCTGATCGCATTCCTTAATCTTACTCATCTCCAAGTTAATTCTGGTGAGAAATGCTTGTAGCCTTTCCCCCTTTTGTTGTTTCATAGTGAACAAGTTTGATACGCTTATATGGATCTGTTGATTACCGAAGTACTGTGCCATAAATACTTCGCACAACTGGCAAAAGCTTCTAAGCTTGAACCATTTCAAGGCGGTCCAATGTGGTTAGTTGGGAACATTTTGCACATTAAAGCGGCATCATTGTTGTGCATGGCCATTTTTAACTGCACGTGATAAACATGGTCCATTGGATCTCCAGACCCATCAAATGAGGCGAACACCAGAATAATGAACTTCCTTGGCTTAGGTCCTTTAAGTATCTCCTTTGTAAAAAAGGCGAGTATACCATAACAATAGAGGCCTTTGTGGCCATATCAGTCGGTGTCCGTTCCTTCAAATCCTTGAACCGCTCCCCCACTTTACACTGAACTTGTGTTTGGATATCTGCTTTAGACATTTCTTTGAACACTTGGGGTGCACTTGATTTTCGAGTGGTAGTCCTGCTAGTACCCTCTTGTTCGGTTGCTAGATCTTCTGCTCTGCTCCTACATCTCACCGGTGTAGATCTAGATGTACAGATCCAACCTGATCATTTTGTAAATCCGTTTTATTCATCATCCCCGACTCTACAGCTAGTTGTGGTGGATGGGCATCATTTCTCACTCTATACGAGACCTGAGCTCAGTGTTCTTCTTGCGCAAGGTCTCTACTACCTCCGCGTTTTCCCTGCGTAGAGCCTGGACCAACTGCCAAAGCTCTTCCTATTGATCGCTCCGATTACCTTCTTGTTGTTGCATGCTTTGCTCTTTGATCATTGTACCAAAACGTAGCTGTGTCATGAATCGGATCGGAAAACTACAAGATCTCCCTTGTCGCTTCTCATAGACGACGCCAATTAGGTGTAGATACAAAAAGTTGTCTTTCTATCTTCTTTCCTTCTTCTATTTATAGATCCTTCCATTCTTGTCATAATTTCCTTTCTTGACTTTCACGTATTGGGTTTCATAGGCCCATCTCGATTTGGACACGATTCCTTACATTGCTGGTATGGATTGGGAAAGCTTTTAGGCTTCTTCTCCTCCTTGGATTGGGCAGTGACGTTGGGCTCGCCACTGGACTTGGGTGAACCTGTTCTTATTGGGCATAGATAGATTTGGGTTGTGATGTTGGTCTCGCCACTGGACTTGGGTGAACCTGCTCTTATTGGGCCTAGATAGATCTGGGTAGTGACGTTGGGCTTTCCACTGACTTGGGTGGTCATGCTCTTATTGGGCCTAGATAGATTTGCCCCTTCACTTGCCTTTCAAAAGAAATAAAAATAAATAAAAAATTTTAGAATTTCTGGGTACATTTATATGATGTAGGCTATTAGGCATTATTATGATGTAAGCTTTGTTTTGTCATATCAACAACCTTAAATCATTTAAAATCTTACCACACTAGGCCTGTTATGTTTATTTAGTCACTCCTCCTGAGCAAATATTTATTGTCTAATTCTCAAACATCACTAATTATTTTTGGTAGTCAATTTAAGTTATTGATTGGAAAAAAAATTTAAAAAATCAAGTTGTTGATTTTTATTGATTTCGAGATCTATATATACTACTTGTGATCACAATAGTCCAATTCCAATTAATTAAGACCGTAGAATAATAGGTTCCACTTCCCAAATTTTGTCACCATGTGTTGTGGTATTGGACGAAATGTCTATTCCAAACAAGTAAATAAAATGACAAGATGAAATCATGACACTGCAAGCTCTGTATCGGCGTACAAACTTTCTTCATATAAAAGATTAGAAAATAAAAGAAAATGGTGAAGAAAGAGCTAAAAGGTACACTTGATGAGTCACTTTTGGTTGGGTGTTTTCTATGCCAATGCTGTACTACACCACCAAGCACCGCCACACCCGCCCACTCTATGTATCTGCAACCTTGGTGACCCGTGAACTTTTAACCGTGGTGACCCGTGACACACCAACACACCCACATTTATTCACCCTTTTGACACCTAATAATTACCAACTTCTTCTCTTTGGAAAACGACAATAATGTTTAGTACTGCCAATTTCCCTGTAATCCTATTCGTATTTATAAGCTTGGGGTATTATAATTTAGGACGTATGGCTACGAATACGAGTACGACATAATATAAACACGGTGATATAGCAAATTTTAAAAGAGTAAGACATGTCAAAAAATAATTATATAATATTTTATTATATTTTTAAAAATAATAATAATTTTATTCATTTTATCTACATATTCATGAATGAAGGCATTAATTTAGAGTTTAGAATTAATTGTTTGTTATTTATTTTTAGTAATAATTCATAATATATTTTAAATTACATTGAATTTTATTATTCAAATAAAAATAATCACAAAATCACTCTCTCGTGTCCAAAACGTGTTCTGGTCGTCGTATTCTAACTATATCCAATCAAAAATTATAATATTCAAATTTCAAGACCCTTCTAGTCATGTCCGACACCGCCACGACATCCATAAATGAAATGTCCGTACTTCCTAACTAATAACAACTCTGAAAATATTTTCTTTATAGAATCATACATGCATCTTACATTAATTTTTTTAAAAGGAACAAGTATTTTTCACAGTAAATTAAAAAAAAGTACAATTGGGACGGAGGACTATAGCATGTATATGTATACGGTTTGGGAATGTGCAACTTTATATATATATATATATATATATATATTCACATGCACTGTCACGTGGAGATTCCTCTAGAAATCATTCCAAATTCCAACCATGAAGTTGTGGGCAGTGATTTTTTTATGCTTCATTCATCAATTTGTCCTCTTGTTAATTTGGTCAGTGTGAAAGGTCACATGCAAACACTCTCGGAAGTCTTGTTGACAGAGAGATGCTGCCTGCATGAGTTAAGAGAACTGGATACCAACATGTGAATATGAAAAAAGGTTAGCCATTACAGGACAAGAGAATGGTCACTTGTCACTGAGTTGTATTTAAAATAGCTAGTTTAACCCTTTTGCCAACTTGAATTTCCTAATAGTAACAAACAAGAAGTTTAGCTTGGCCCTAGCAACAATTTACGCGGGAATATATAAAGGGTATGGTCCATTTTACGTAGGCAATCTAATTCTCTCAATCGAGTGTGATATCTGTGATGTACAAAGGCAGTAGTTAAAATAATAAAATTCCCTTAAAATTGTACAATAAATAACAGGGACTAGAGCCACTTAATTTGAAAGTTGATGCGACAGTACAAATTCGATCATCTTATGTTGCCATGCCAAGCCTTGTAATCATATATATCTATACATGTTTGTATGCGTATAAGTCACCATAGTGCCAGTCATGAACGATGGTGACCATGGAGGACCATTCCACCAAGTAGGCATAGGAGCAAGAGAAAATTTAGGAAAATTAGGATATTATGCACATCCCCAATTTGACCAGGGATGTGTAGCCCTATTCTTTATGTTATTTAGGATTGTACTTTTGTTATAGAACAAGAATTAATACACTTGTCTCGGGACAAACTTCCTCCTTACAACTATCACTTGTGATTTTATGATTACACCATACTAATATTAATAGATTTGGTATCAATTTGACTCACTTGAAAAAATGAGTTTTTTTTTTTTATTTTTTTATTTTTTTATTTTTTTTTATTTTTTATGTTTATATTTATATATTAATAATATAAAAGAATATGTGATTCAATGATATTTTGACGCACAAGGTCTAAGAAAGAGGCAAAGGATACAGTATTGTTCTTCTAGTACTTTCCGGTTACCAATTGATTTTATTGAAAATATTGAAACATTATTCTCCCATTATGGTCTTTTTCTTATTATACAGCTCGCAAGGTAGTTCAAGTGATACCTAAGGATAACTATTATCCTTCCCGACATCTCTCCCAAATCGTGATGAAGAAGGCAAGGAAAGCGGTTTGATAGAAGAACACTACTATCAAGTAATTTCAAGGGGTTTGACTCTAGTGGTGAAGTTATGGGACTTAGTGCCTTATGAAACATTAGGTCTTAAGCTCGAATCTTCTCAAGTTTAATCAATTTTTTAGGAACAACAACAGCAAACATAGTTCGAGTTTTACCCGATTAGAGTGGAGGGATCACTTTGCATGGGTCCCATGGATTAATTGGGACGAAACCCCAGACATCCTGATTGTAAAAATAAAAAAATAAAAAAAATAAAAAAATAACTACCAAGTACTCTCCTAAAAAAGGAGGGGTCTGTCAGCCCAAAGACTCCTAAAAAAGAAGGGGTCAGTCAGCCCAAAGAGATACACTAAAAATTAGATACAGGAAGTCTCTCTTTCATAGAAAATCATTCAAGTGCGTTCTAACTTGATCGTCGAAGTATATACTCAGTAGGATCCATGCCATTGACAGCCTCGGTCACTACCCCTCTTCTTCTCCTGGAGGAATGAGGTTCAATTCTGGATGGTGCAGAATTGCGTCAACAGTTAATGTGATACCCCCTAATTTTCAAGTCATGGGTTGATCATAATGCAAAATTTCATTAACAGTTAGTGTAATACCCCTTAATTTCCAAGTCATGGGTTGATCCAGCCCACACTAAAAAATAAAGGGATATCAAACAATTTATAATAAACAAGCACAAATTACAAAATGAATAATTAAGAATAAACAAAACGCTGAAGGAAAATTTAATAAATGATAAAACATGTCCTTTAAATAAATCTTTAAGTTAAAATCCATCATAATAAATCCTCAAAACTTTTACAACTCCGGAATCCCGTAAACTAAGAACCCCTAAACCATAACCTATAAATCCATAAATAAATAAACTAAAGTCTAACATTAAATAAGTATCCTACTTTGAATAAGCAAGAAGAGTAGATGATAGATGAAGTCTCCGAGCTACGGATCCTTAACCTTGGTATTGGAACTTTTAAGAACCTGAAAAAATATAAGCAACGGTGGGTTAAACCCACGAGCAAGTTCACTCTACTAAACCATTCTATTAAAGTTTTTATCCTTTAGTACAAGATGATACATAGTAATACTTTACAATAACCATGATAGAAAAATCCTCCATGCCTAGAGTTATACATATAATGATAGGCCATAAAACTATGTTTATTAAGTATAACATCCATCCTTAGAACTATATTCACTAAGTTCCCACAATTTAAACAAAAATAACAATTTTCATAAATAATGATTCATCATAATTAAAAGTAAATGTTCTCCAATTAACTAATTCAAATACAATAGCAGCTCGTCTATACCTCCAAAAGTATGTATTTGTCCATACTATATAATAGCAAATCATCCATGCATTTGATGTATGTATTTTGTTCATAAAATTAAATTGACAATCATTTCATGCCTTGGCAACTCGGCCATATATACCTCCATCTAACCTCATACCAAGACCACTCAACCAAGTCAAGGTGCAAGTAAGACTACGCTCATTAGTCAGCCCACGTGGTTCCGAAATTCTAAAGCCATATCCATATAATAATTTCTCAATAAATCATATAATATGCAACAAATGCAAAATATAAGCATGAATAAATTATATAAGATATCGTACTATGATTTCCATCCACATCACAGCATATATAAATATGATAAATATCAATGAGCAACTTATTAGTTAATTTTGTTTTATTTATTTATTTATATATTAAGGTCCATTATGCGTGATAGTATATAACACGTACGCTACACAATTAACCAATGTAACACCATCTTCAGTTTTCACTAAAGTGGTAACAAACCAATTAACCGATACAACATTATCTAAAAGTGGTTATAACTAACTTTGGAATTTAATACCCAAACTATCACGTTATATGCTAGGATTATTTAGCCAACACCACACTTAGCCATTACAACTTTATCCAAAATGATTACAACAATTTTGTGATTAAATAAATATTTTAACACGTGGCATAGTATAATACGTGTGTTACACCATAAATCAATAATCACTAAGTGGTAACCAATTATGGGTAAAATTTAAACAAGATCAGATAGTATAGTAATAAAGAGTTTTGCTCGACGTATAATCCCTATCGGTCGACCAAAATAGTCAAACTAGTCGATATGAAGTCCTCTTTCGATTGACCGAAACCTGTAAAGGTCTTCTTGTTCCGCGTGATAATAGCCTCCAACCTCTGTAATTGGTTCGTTTCCCACTTCAATAGCCTCCAAACAGTCCAATTAATTCTTAAATTATCTAACATGCTTCAATGATTAAACATACCAATATAGCAAATTATAATCATGCTTCAACAAATATACAAACAACACATAATATATATACGTATACACACATACAACAGTTCTGATCGTGCTTTTAGTCATATTTCTTCAGTGATTAACATGAAATTAGTTTTTACGATTCTGGTACCCAATGTGTAAAATTTATGGGTTCTAAGAAGAGAAGTAGAGTAAGAACTTTCCTAAAGTTTACGAAACGAAAACTAACACCGCAAGCTTCTCTGATTTCGTTCTGCAAGTCCGGTCGCCTCCCACGTCGTCGTAGTCGTCGTCTTCTTCTGGTCCAGCCTACTTCCCTTCTTCTCTCTCTTCTTTTCTCGGTTTGTAAACCCTCTACTGCCTCTCTCTTTTTTGTCTTCTTTTCTTTCACGTTCCAAACCCTCTCTTGTGTATCTTACAATATATATATATATATAAATAAAATATGCAATTTATATGCCACTTAATATTTATATCATTATACATAGAGAGTAGTGAACTCTTGCTTCTGGTGGAGAAAGAAAATTCTTCTGCACTTTGTATAGGGAAATCTAATAGTCACATTCCAAACCCACCTATATGCTTTTATTTTAATACAAAACCACTATCACTATTTCTAGTTTCTAAATTTAATATTTACCAATAACACTAATTACAACAATAAAAGGTAATTACCGAACAAATCAAAATAAAAATTGCTTCACCTCTGGAACGTCTCACCTCCACTAATCGGAATTTTTGTTTTCTTTGATATTTTTGTTGTTACTTTACATATTAGCTTCCTTTTAGGCATTCATACCTTTATTACTTACAAAAAAAAAATGATGATAGTGAAAAAAATATAATGATAGTATAATAATAGCAATATTAAAGAAACCATTAAGAAAAATAACTAATTAACAAAAGAAATCTAAAATTTGATAGAATAATAGCATTTTTTGTAGTGAAATTCCTCATTATGTCAATAAATTTTTGTTATTATAGTAGAACTAGAAAAAAGATATTTTGCGACTTATTATGATAGAGGAATAATTGGAATGTGCTTACAACTAGTTAGAATCTAGAATAAAATAAAACAAAATTAACAAGAAAGGTGAGACAATTTGTGACAAAGGAGTTGGAGAAAAATAGATTGAATTTCTAATTTTTAAATAGCACGCATTTAGGGTGGTATACAATAATTTAAATTGTAATATATTAATTTTTTTTTTATTTGGTGAAGTGTTGTGCAAATCACAGGTTACCTTAAGGTGATCAAGTGGATAAAAAAATAAAGATTTTATTTTTAATTTTTTATTATTTTTAGTCGATGTTTTGTATGTCAATAGTGTAATTTTTTATTTCTTTTTCACACTCAAACAAATAGGCAATGTCAACTTTAGTATCAAGTATTAGATGCAATTTTCTAACACTTACAAATTTTTTTAAAGAAAACAAAATTCCGATTAGTGGTGAGACGTGATTTCGAGAGGTGAAGAGATTTCTATTTTTATTTTTTTAGTACATACCTTTTACTGTTATAATTAATAGTATTGGTAAATATTAAATTTGGAAACTAGAAAGAGTGATAATGGTTTTATATTAAAAGGAAAGCATATAGGTGGGTTTAGAATGTAACCTAATGGTCACTATAAAAAGTGTGGAAGAATTTTCTTGCTCCACAAGAAGCAAGAGATCAGTAGTCAGTACACACACTCTCTCTCTTTATATATATACACACACACACACACATACACATATAAATAATATATGTATATAACCAAACAACCATGGGCCTTGTCTACTTAACCCACCAAGGCTTTTTCTAAAGCCCAAGATCACATCCTTTGGTCCAAAGTCCCTTAAACCCAACCCAATTAAACCTAAAGAATTAAAACAATAAAATTAAAAGATTAATCACACAAAAATTACAAACACTACACGTATATAAGCATGCACACAAGCATAATTATATAAACAACCAAATAATTGCATACAAATTAAAAAAAATTAACATGCCAAATCATCAAATAATAAAGAAACAAAAAATAAATAGAAACAAGCCAAATAAGCAATCAACAATTTAAACACTCAATTAAAAATGAATAAATCAATCTAAATCAAATTAAAAGCAATTAATTTTAAAAAAGTAAATCCTTTAAAATATAGGGGTAATACATTTTCTCCCCCTAACAAAGAAATTCCATCCTCAGACTTCACCAATTCCATTAAATGAAAACTCTGGTTATTTTATCCAAATATTCATTTTCCTTTCTTGAGTGGACTTTGCCCCATTAGAATTGCTCAACCCAATATGCACATACTTAGAAAACATAGCACATAGTTCCTAATATCAAGAACATTATAAGCTATTCCACACTTGTTGAATCTATTTGCAACTTAAACTCACCAATTTTTATATGTTGGTAACTATATATCCTCATTTCTGCGAAGTTTTGCTGCAAAAATAGATACAACCACATTATACACATAACATGAACAATTTAGTAGTGCCATAGGCTATTTCCTAATTGATTAAAACATGAAAAATCCACATAGCGAGGTGATAACCTCCCCTTTTTTACCCAACCACAGTACTCCCTTTATGGGAGACACCCTGAGTGAAACCCGCTTCCAACTCACTAGCTCTAATATATGAGTTTACGATGAACATAACCCTTTCTACATACTCTGGTAGCTCACATAGGATCTCTAATAAGAGTAATCTCCTTCGTTATGTCCTGAATAAATGTAGGACCCCAAAATTCAACTCCTTCGAACCTCTAACCAACGAATATAATTTCTTGTAAGATCAACCATACAAAACCTCAAATGATGCCATACCAATTGTCTTTTGACAACCATTGATATAGGCAAACTCCAAAAGTTTTACTTAATGCTCCCAGTTATCCTTACTATCTATGACTTATTCTTGTCGTATCTATTTGCCGTAGTAGTGAATAAACAGACTTTGTCAAATTAGTAGCTATGACCTATCTGGAATTAAAATTCCAGCGTAATGTCAGTACTCTTGCAATATTATTCATGAAAGTAGCCTCCCATGTCCACTTTAATATATGTAGTGGCTGCACTAACCCTGGTGGATTCCTACCATCTATAACAACCATCTAATAGGTGCTACACTTAGGAATAATGATGGCTATGGAAATTTCTATTCCAAACTTTACATCTCTCATCGTGAGACATTTTATCCCCTCCTGAAGAATCGAAAACTTTTATGAACCTTACTCATCAACATCTTCCTCGAAACTGATAACAAAACTAACGAGTCCTTCTTTGTAACTCAGACCCTCTCGAAATCCTCTGAGCAAGAATGAAACACCTCTGAAAGTCAACTCCACCACTTTATGTTGACCCATTATTACCTTGTGAATAATAACAGGTGTACTACCATCTATGCTATTACCATATCAGATAACTCTTCAACAAGTTAAACATTTTGTATCGCGTCGACAGTTGAGAGTATCTGCTACCACATTCGTCTTTCCTGAGTAATAAAAAGTGATAACTTTCCATAAACCAGCTATTTACGCTTTCTCGCGTCCATTTCCTCTATGTGAACATATTTTGTAGACCTTTGTAGTCTAAACTATGACGGCCCAAATTCTCAGAACCCGATGCGTCAGCGAGTAACCTGAAAATTGACCGGATGACGGATCCCAAGTGTGGAAGTAAGAAAAGGAGAGAGGTCTCTAGAGATGAATACCATCTCTAAGACATCAAAGTACTTCTCATGAAGCCACAGAATTCAAATGGATCGAATGCGGAAACTAAGGTTGAAAATAGACTGAGTATAACCCCAATGGTAAAATAGTATTTTCATATCAACATGGGTGCTACCGCGCACACCATTGGAAAAAAAATGAAAAACAAACAAGTTTAGACTCAAAGATCTTTTAATTCGAAGTCCAGATGACAAAGATATGAAGATAGAACAAAGCGGCGTCCTCCGATTAAAAGATACCACGACCCTATCTCACTAAAATTATCGTAACTCTTACTGCGGTTAGAGTTTCAGTGTGTGGTTGGTACTATTGGATAGCGGACTTTAAGCTCTTAAAGTTAGACACAAGAATGACCTAATTTAAACCTAAAATGAGTAAGTTATGACCCTTTGAAGACAAGTCATCAAGGCAGCCAGAAAGAGTCGGCTCCTTTAGGCCGAGAGCAATAAAAATGAAGGAAATGTGCCGTGAATGAACCCAGTTGACTCTTTTAAGAACCGAGTCAGCTCGATTGAAGAAAAAGTCGGCTTTTTTGGGCTGAGAGCAAGAAAAATGAGGCCCAAATAAACCGAGTCAACTCCCTTGAGAACCCAATTGGCTGTGTTGAAAAAGAAAACATGATGCACCAGATTTTTAAGATTAAGATGGGATTTTAAGGGCCTAAATGACATTTTTTGGGAAAATGTTGTGAAGTAACCCCCCCGCCCCCCCCAAAAAAAAGAAATCATGTTTTCTAAGCAACCATATCAAGATAAGTTCTTATTTTTGAAAAGAAATTCCCAAAATGCCCTTTAACTAGATTTGTGAAGAAAATGAAAACGCAAGCCCCATGGGTGTGCAATTCCAGCAAATAAGGTGTTGTGTGCAAAGGTGAACATATACGCAAACGTAATATGTATATTAAAGTGTGTTACAATGGCCTACGTCCTTAAAATACTCCTAATGCAAAATATGGTATGCTAAATCTCAAATTCGCATAAAATTGCTCAATAAGCAAAACATGAAATAAAAAGATTACAAGTGTAAGCAAAAGACATTTTCGCCCTTGGCTATACGTCATACATATATAAAGAGTCGTAAAGAGTGTGCTTATGCACACTTTACACATCTCAAATTAAAAAATGACATATTAAAACCTCAAATTTCTTAATTTTTCCCTTTAAAGGTAAATTGCAATACCAAGTGCATAGATGTGAATAAAATGGTGTTTGGCCCTTGGCCACACCTCATATATACTAAATAAATCTCAAAGAGTGTATCTAAGTACAATTTACATAAAACAAGGAAGAAATGGCATAACAAGACCTAGTTAAGTATTACAAACTCAAAAACAAAATAAATCATGCTAACACTTGCATGTTCTTAAAATCATATCAAAGTACTCCAAAGTGAACAAGTCAACCTAGGGATGTTGACCATCCCAAAATAAAGTTCCCATACCTGAAAAATATCCTAATAACTAGGGTGAGTAAACAAGTTACTCGTAGGAAATGAACATGCGTATACCTAAAGTTTTAATGATTTTACAAGTTTAATATAAATCGATCCATATGGTTCATGCCACCTAACGTCTATGTCCAAGGTGAGACTAAGGGAGCATCCTAAGCTACCTTTAGATATTTCTAGCATAGACCACAACATTCATGCAATTTAACAAAATTGGACAACCAAATACATA